TCTTTGATTTCGTCGATGTCATATGTGAAGGACGACGTTCCGTTTAACTAAAACGCAAGTAAACAAACATACTTTTCACACGACTATCACAGCTAAATATAGAGGCCATAAAAAAAGAAAAATAAACAGCGCAGCACAGCACAGCACAGCACAGCACAGCACAGCACAGCACAGCACAGCACAGCACAGCACAGCACAGCACAGCACAGCACAGCACAGCACAGCACAGCACAGCATAGCACAGCACATACAGCAGCAACAGAATATAACACAGCATAACACTATACAGAACACAGAGCAGAACACAGAGCAACACAACACAATTTTTAACATGGGTAACACCTTAACAACTTGTGTTGACAATATAGTGTACGCAAGGCAGAATGGTGCCTACCGCTGGACAAACTTGACGCGGCCCTAGGTGACGTCATCGATGTAATGATCCAGCATGCTGTTCGGCATCGTCAGTTTTCGTTGCTTCCGGTATATGTGAGCATCTCAAAAACAGATCACTTGTTGCTGAGCCCAGCAAACAGGAACTTTGCTACAGGAATAGAGAAGCATTGCTGTTATATCGAGGTAACTKGAAACAGATCAATAGAGGGGATCTAAAAATTGATCCCAAATCTCCTATATCAATGTTATGACACGTACCAATACTCCAGTTTCGAGATCTTATTTGTGCATGACTTAAACTCAAAAGCACGTAATATATTCCTTTATTCAGCAAAGATCCTATAGACCCCTTGCATGTAACGTCAAAGCAGCTTCATCTGGAGGACAAAACAAAAGATTTTTATCCTCTTGGGAACTAGAATCCATTGTTTTGTCCTCCAATTGGAGCCGCATTCCCATGAACTGCAAGGGGTCTATTGTAATGAACGCTCTGTGCACCACTAAGACAATAAAAATGTATGCTTTTGATAAGCTAATCTGTAGTATTGATCAAAATTTCATTTATTTTCAATATAATATTCCCAAGGTACCTATTCTATCCAACAAGATTGCATCACAAGATTATCTATCTTGCATCGACGACATACTCTTCGAAAARTACAACGCAAGACCTAACTGGTCCGCAAGGTTACTCCCACTAAACCACAGCCGAGTTCAGCAGCTATACCCTGGCTTTCCTGAGTGGCAGAAAATCTTCAAGCTTTTTAACAAAGACGGGACTTTTTGCAATGAGTTCACGCAGCAACTGGAACTTGATGACAGCAGTCTGAAAGACAATCCTCAAGATGGCGGCCAGAGTAGTAAAATTATAACTGTACAACCTCTTCCTGAATGAAACCAGCTGTGCCACTATTAGAACTCTTAATAGTGAAGCCAGGGGATGYCGAATTTAATTGTTGCTAAGATTTGTAATAAGGGAGGAGTAGGTGTGTCGCGATTGCGCAYAAGCTGAATTCTTGGGTTTCAACCAATCAAAAATCCCTCGAGAAATAAAGTACAAAAGCTATCGCCGCCATTTTGGACGATGAACAATCGAAACGAATGAGGAATGCTTTGTTATTGTCATCAAACATGGCGGCGATGACGTAAACGTGCAACCTTAGAATTATTGAATTTGGAAATTCCTTTTGAGTTTAATATATATAATACAATTTACTAGTTATGTCAGGGGGTSACCCAATTATTACTATTAAGGTTTGTCAGGGGTGGGGTGTGTCAATTGCTCACAAGGTGGATTACCAAAGTATTGAATTAAAAAATGTAGAAATGGTGGGTTAGCTGGTGCCTCTGTGGATGCCCACCTAGATCTGTACCTGTACAATTGCTATTGTTCAATCTACTAAATATGATTTAATGCTGAATAAGAAGTGCTGTTAAATATTTCCTAGGCTGCAAAGCATCATGGTAAAATTAATTAGTTTTCTGACGACGAAWGTTGCCTAAAATAATTGATATTAATTGATGGCAAGAATAGAAGAATAAAATTAAAAACTAGCTCAGATATGCGCATGTTTCAATGTATTGTACCTTTTTGCTTTAAGAAGTCTTAAAAGAGTAAATGCCGGAGACAAGGAATACATGTAATTTGAGATAATTACTCACGTAATTCGCAACTGAGTTAAAATCTTTTTGAATAAAAGGAGGTACAAAAAGAACGCTACTTAAATTTCTAATATTGACTCACACGTGTGTAGTGAGAATTTGTACGTCAGCTACGATGATTTCCCTTAATTAATAACTATATCTACACCCATATCAATGKGGATTTATTTCAACATAAAAAGAAAATTTAATTTATGAGTTCCTTTTGAATTAAGGATTAATGTAGATTACTTCRGCGAGCAAGAYGGCGACMAGGAAATCCAGWGRTCACATTTGGTTAAATCACGTACAACTTCTAAAAGGATTTYMARKTYCMWYCYKRAAMYKRARSC